GTGGAAGGCCTGTGAATTCATCAGTACCGGCTGACATCACGCACCTCACCAAAGAGACACCACCAACCTCCCTGCCATCGAGTCGATGCTGACTCACAGGGACCCTCGAGCACGGGGGGAACTGCCCCCGTGGGTTTCTGAGATGGCACCTCTTTATGGGAGCAGAGAGCCTGTCTTTCTCCCAGTCACCACGCTGCGGTTATGTTGGTAGGCGCCATCGGGTGAGTTGTGAACTGCGGTGAGCCCGTGCACAACAGAAGGACGCACTGCCCGGTCCTGCTCCAGCCCCACCACTGTCCCTGTGCCCGAACCCATGGCTGCAGCCACTGTGTCCGTCCACCTGGTGAAGGCCTTCCTCTGCTTCACTGCCCCTCTGCTTGACCAAACGTGATGTCCCTGGAGAGGGCAGCATGTCCCAAGTAGGTGAGACGAGGCCCTTCACCCTCGCCTCTCAGGAGCACTCTGGCCATCCATCTTCCAAGACAGATCGTGTGTCCTTCTGGCAGCCCACGGTGCTTTCCAAGTTCTTCTCCAGCACCATCGTGCAAACACATCGATTCTTCTACTGTCTTCCAAAGCTCGCTACCATCGGTATTCGGGGTGAGTTAATCAAACGCTGGACGAGGATGGCCCAGGAATGATGTTCCAAATATCCACATAGCCCTTGGCAGATGAAAGGCTCCCCACCTCTGCCTTAGGCCCCAATCCTCCCCTGCAGCTGTCGTAAAACGAAACACCGGCTCAGCTGTACAATCTACCTGGTGGGGGAAAAGTGGCCATGGCCACTGGGAGGACGAGGTGGGGTGAGCGGGCAGCATGTTTATGCTCATAGGGGGAGGGGCAGCTTGGGAAGGAGGCCGAGAACAGACGCCCAGCTCAGAGCCTGTCATTTCTGTCACAGGGTGGAGCTCGGACAAACGGCTAAACCGGCAGCAGTTCTGTTGTGAGCCACAAATCACAAACCCACCAGGAAAACATGCAAACAAGCGTCGGCAGCAGCGTTGTCTGTGATGGCCCCGCGTGGGAGCTGCCTAAATGTCCATCGACGGGCTGCTTGCCCAGGAGGGGCTGTCGCCCAGCCAGGAATGGGCCTGGCACGCTGCTGCGGGCCCCGCATGGGCGGGTGCAGCCGTGTGGTGCCGAGGGGAGGCAGCTGGCTCAGCTGGGCACCCCGCGTGGGATGGCGGCGGGGGTGAGAGCATCCAGATGCACAAGCCCGCAGGCAGGGAGTGGCCGTCAGCGGGAAGAGTTTCTTTCTGGGGTCAAGAAAACGTGCCCAAAGGAAGTGGTGATGGACACACACAATGACAGACGTGCTACACACTGCAGAACTGGAGGCTCCCAAAGGGTGGCCTTAAAGCTGTGGTATGAATGAAGGAACAGGCCACACGGCAAATGCTCGCCACCCAATAGCACACGCGCGCACACACACACACACTAAAAAGTGACGTCCTGTACTCATCTTACAGATTCGGCATCTCAAGATTGTCAAGGTGCAGCTAACTACAGAGGGTTGAATGCCTAGAACCCCGTCTGTGCTGGCTTCCACTCGGGTCCCAGAGCCCCGGGGCCAGGCTGTCACCCTACCCACACGACAAAGATCTAACTGCAACTACAGACCAGTTCCTACGGGGAAAGCTCCACTGCAGACTGAGGTCACATGTAAGGAGGCTTCTCTCACGGGTCAGGACTCATGGCACTGATCACAGGTTGTGGGGAGAGGGGGAAACTGTCCCCTCTCCCCTTTTCTGGACAGCTGCGGTTTTATCCCTTGTGATTGGTTAGGGGTCACTCAGTGGTATGGGCAGGCTGCAGGCACTCACCACCTTTACCTGTTCACCACTCCTGCAAACAGAGCAGTAATCTCACTGCCACCGAGTCAGTGCTGACTCACAGTGACAGCAACTGTTTACAGCAGTCGAAAGCTTTCTCCTGAGGAGCCACTGGTGGTTTTGAACTGCCAACCTTGTGGCCAGCTGCCCAACATGTCATCACTATGGCACCAGGGGTCCAGAATCTGGCCCCCACTGGAGTGTTTGGAAGGTTTTGTAGGACGCACTGCCCTGAGGAGCCCTGGAAGGGTCCAAGCCGCCCAGCAGGGACAGGGGCTCTGGGCTCGTCCTCAAGTCTGAGGATAAAGGCCTGGAGACTTGCAAGACACCCCCTCTCCCCCCACCGCCCCAAAGCACAGTGCCTCGGCAGGACTCGAGGGAAGGCCAGGAACACACCCTGACTGTGGACCTGGAAAGCACTTTGGGGAGGGGGGAGATCTAAGTTTCCTGTACTGTCCCCATGGAGGGAGGGGGAGACCCACACACTTAAAGCAGAGCAGCCCCCACACAGACTCCTGGAGACTTCGGGGCGTGCAGAGCAGACTCCACAGCACACTAAAGGACTGAGCTTGCTGGGCGTTTCTTCAAAGGCACCTTTGGGTATGTGTGTGTGTGGGGTCAGTCAGTCATCAAGGGTGTGGCCTTTTTGGGACCCTCTGGTGGGTCCTGACTGTGGTTAGAGCGGTCCTGACCTGGCGGGTCCTGACTGTGGTTAGAGTGGTCCTGACCTGGCGGGTCCTGACTGTGGTTAGAGTGGTCCTGACCTGGCGGGTCCTGACCTGGTTCGAGTGGTCCTGACCTGG